ATGTGAAGATTTGATCAATACTTAGAGTAATATTTTACGACTATCATTACATCATGAATAAGAGTTTTAGTCATCATATATCACTTATGGAGATAAAGGACTGCTATTGAAGTTTCCCAAAATAAGCTAATTAGGCCCCATGATGCCATTGAATTCCAATTAGCCTTGCTTTCCACCCAGGGTGGACTGCAGTTTCGACCTCATGTGAGCGCCCCCAATAGGAATAGAAACAGGATAGTGCTATCACTACGCCAAACTGTCAAAAGTTTCAGTTGGTCACAGGGCAGAAGTGAATTTTAAGGCATGCTAAACAGTTGAACTCAGACGAGATCAAAACTGTGGCGCGACCTGGAGGAGAGTCGCTTTAAGAAAGCTATGCTAAATGAAAGTCAATGGTATCGTGATGCCAAGTTATCTCATTGTATAGAAATTCTCTATTAGTCCTTCATCTCTTTAAAGCGGCCAAGGCTGACAAAAGCTCTTATTGGAAAGCTGAATAATCATAGATTTTACCTTTTTATGCAAAAGAGAAGTGTAATGCTATCTCTAGGAATGAGGTTTGGACATCGATAATCACTAATGAGTACTTTCAATTGAATTCGGATTGCTGCAAGCAAGCTACAATCAAGTAATACTTGGCTCTAATGACAATGGGTCAAAGGCATGAACTCCAAGACAAATTAGACCTCTTATTTCAAACTTATTATCAGAACTGCGTCAACAACTTTTTAAAAATTTTTGTTTATAAGTAGGTTTACGAGACTAACATATAACTTTATGTAAAGACTGCCTAGTAGTATATATATAGGTATTATAACAACATAAGGCTTTCAAAATTAAGATAAGGATCAGAGCTACTTCATAGATATAGGCAGAATGAATTCGCAGCGGCCTAAATATACGGTAATTGTAGATCGAACTAGAGCTTGGTGGCTAGATGCTATTCCCGAAGCCCGAAAAACATTGGGAAGGCTAATGATAAATAGGAAAGACAAAAACTTTAGTCAAGTCAGAGAGATAAAATATTTTTGTTATAGATGAATATATAAATCCTCTACGTTAGTTTAAGTAACGCTAAAAATTCTAAATAGAGATTTAATGATTATATCCCAACGAACGATACATAACTAGGGTAAAATATCGACAGGCCAAAGATTAATAGATAGATTCTCGTAAACAGATAATTGTGAAGCAAAAAGGATAAAATTTTTGAATATATATACAACACTTATTTATATTGATAAAGCTGGCCTCAATAAAGTAATGCATGTCCTGAAAATCCTTTGCATCCAAAAATATGCTAGGAGGTTGCGTAGGAAACGGATTTTTACCATGTACGCTTTTAGCTTTGTCTGTATTTGGCACATTCCATGATTTCTTTTCCACTCTGAGTGCTTGTTTGTTCAGTATTTTTTTCTATGAGTAGTATGGCCTTAACCCCACTAAAATAGCTGTCTAAAAAGCCCAATGGATTTCTTAAATTTATTAGTATTTTCATATATCAGTCGTTTGGTTATTACTTATTTAATTTTCCAATCTTACCCATTCATAAACCTGTGCTCTTAATTATATCTAATGATTTTTGAATAAATAATTGTTTTGGTAAATATATATCCTGACCTGTTACGACCTAGTTTTCACAATTTGGTAGAGTGAAAAGGGAATCTTGTATAACAAACCAAGTCTTGAGTCCTCTGTAATAAAAGTCATGATAATTTCTAGCATAGGACCGTTAAGTTGGCTAGTAGGAACTTAGATACTTCATAATAGCTATGCAGCACTAAGAAAGTTGGCCAATATGAGATTGTTGATTGTGTCTCGGAACTTAACAATAATGATATTTCCATTATAAATAGCAGTAACTAAGGCCATCCAATTATACGCGGAAATAAGCTGAATAATGCCCTGATTGGGCTTACATGCAATACTTTGTAGAGGGAATTATAATTTGAAGTCAAGTAATTTACCATATACAGGTGTTTTTCCAGGAAGGACAACAACAATAAGCTGAAGGCCAGGGTGAGTATTCCTCAAATAACGAAACATAGGTTCCACTTGGTCTTGTCCGGTGGCGTATTTGCAGAAACAAGGTGGACTAACAATCGGCATGCCAGCGTCGTTAGATATCTTCTGCAGCTGTAGTGTAAACTGGCTTTAAATAACGAAAGATATAACGAAAAATATATATGATTAAAATGGAAAATGGAAGCATTTATTCAGTAAATATTGCAAAAAATATCAGAACCAATCTGTAAAGCACTTAAGTAGGTAGTACAATAATAGAGAATTTTTCATAAAATAAATCGAGACTAATCGTAAAAAGATCAGCCTTCAATCAATCAACAAGTAACTTTGGGTATATTAGAAAAGGGTCATTTCGAAGAATCATTTATGGCTTAAAGCGAATCTATTTTAATCGGTAAGAAGGAATGATCTGTTGGAAGGGATCCGAGAATAGACCGCAATGGAAATCGGAGGGTTGCACTTAAGTAGTCTGTCGGATTGTGCAAAGAATTCGATGTTCGTCGTCACGTAAGCTAAATAAGCCCGTGAATATATGAAGACCAAGATGTTGTGGCCTCTGGTGTGGTCGCAGTCTCCTTTCGATTGATAGAAGTG